ATCTCTTGTAATTTCCTAAATACTTATGTTAGGGATATTATAATCTTAGCCTGTAATTGAATAATAGCATGGAGTGACTAATGATATGTATGCATTGAATGCGAAGAAAATCTATCTTTATAAAATACACTTGTTCGGCAACAAAAAGACATATTTTTCTATCTTGTTATTCTTAACCATAATTAATTTGAAAAATAAATCAACTAGTGAAATTTGGGATTGAGGAAGGGAAAAAAAATAGAGACCTGAATTTGAAGTTTTAGCATATTTGCTTTAGATTGGAAGCATAGGGGTGAGATTAAATAGTTAGCACCCTAATGAGCCCATCTGAATAGAACTTCAGCTGAGACCATAAAATCCCTACTCAAAACAAACCAAGAAATTAAAGACCTAGATAGCACCAATGCAATTTCATCTAACTCAATTTTAATAACTCACTTGTTGTAAATAATATTGATTTAGTTATTATTTAGTTTTTATTTAGTCATTTATTGTTGTATTGGGCCAAGCCCTTTGTTGTATTGGGCCAAGGCCTTTAGGTTAAAAGTAGGTCAAATATTCTCTATAAATAGAGAACCCCTTGTACACATTATTTACAATTCTAAAATATATCAGAATACCCTTTTTCAAGTTGGTATCAGAGCTCTCGATCTGAGGGCTTTGCTTCCGCACATATTATCTTCTTTTTTTAAAAAAAACCCTAATTTCTTTGCCTCTTGCCGCCATTAGCCGTCACCGGAAAATTTTTCCGGGGACCTTTTGGACCAAGGGGACCATTGTTGACCTTATTTTTCCTCCGATCTATCATTCTACGCAGTGTTCCTCCGCCACAAACGACCGAAACACCTCTGACCGCCTCCAATCAGATCTGTCTTCACCGTTTGGACCACTTTCCGGCGACTTTTCAACCGCGACCACCCACAGACAGGTGCGCGCTCACCGGACGACCACACCAGAAAAATCTCAGCTGGCGAAGCCCATCCACGCGCTCTCACGCGCCGCCCCTTTCCCGGCGAGTGAATCCTACGCGCAGCTCCTTTCTCCGGCGCGTGGAGGCGCGTGCGGCCGTGTTTTTGGACCGGACCACCACCATTCTTCTCGTCTTCTTGTCTTCTGTCTGGATCTGTAATTATTTTTCTGATCAGAGGTCATTTGATATTCTGTTTGGTTGATTTTATCGCTGGTTGTTAACTTTTTTTGTTAAAGAATGGCCGAGCATGATAGTTCTTCGATCTTATCTGGTAAGAGCACACGTTCTATATCTCTTCTTGCTTCTTGCACTGATTTTAAAACCTCATGGATTTTGGATTCTGGTGCAACTGATCATATGGCTTGTCGTACTGAGTTGTTTTGTTCTTATCATCCTACTGTTGGTAGTCATACTATATCCGTAGCTGATGGATCCCATAAATCAGTTATTGGTTCTGGAAACATTCAGATTCAACCTTCCTTGTTTCTTAAAAATGTTCTTTATGTTCCTCAGCTTTCTATTAATCTTATCTCCACTCAAAAACTTACAATTGATTTGAATTGTTCTATCACATTTTTTCCTTCTCATTGTCTTATTCAGGATCTTACCACGAAGAAGACAATTGGAGTTGCTAATGAACAAGATGGGTTGTATCATCTCCTTCCAGACCATGCTAGCAAAAATCAGTTATTAATGACACGTCATCCTTCTACTGCAGAGTCTATGATTTGGCTCCATCACAAGCGTCTTGGGCATCCACCATTTAGTCTTTTGAAGTCTATGTTCCCCTCTCTGTTTCTCAATAAGTCGGTTGAGACCTTTCATTGTGATGTTTGTGAATTTGCAAAACACCATCGAGTGTCATTTCCTTCTAGCACTATTAAAAGCATGGAACCTTTTTCTCTTATCCATTCTGATGTTTGAGGCCCTTCTAAAGTGCACAGTGTTTCAGGTGCTAGGTGGTTTGTTTCTTTTATTGACGATTGTACTCGGATAACATGGATATACTTGATGAAAGACAAGTCTGAAGTACCAGAGATATTTATTCGGTTTCATCACATGGTTGAGACTCAGTTTGGTAAGGGTATTAAAAGACTCAGATCTGATAATGGTACTGAGTACGTCAATCAACGCCTGTCACAATTCATTTCAGACAGAGGTATGATTCATGAGCTCCCATGTGTTGATACCCCTCAACAAAACGGGGTTGCTGAAAGGAAAAATCGTCACCTTCTTGAAGTTGCTAGAGCACTACTTTTTCAGACATCTGTTCCTAGTTCTTATTGGGGAGAAGCAGTATTAGCTGCAACTTTTTTGATCAACCGTTTACCTTCACGGGTCCTTAACAATATCAGTCCTATTCATTCCATGACTTCCTTCTTTCCTTCTGTTCCCATATTGCAGAGCCTTCCACCAAGAGTGTTTGGATGTGTTGCCTTTGTCCATGTTCATAAACAACATCGGAGTAAGTTGGATCCTAGGGCTCTTAAGTGTGTCTTCCTTGGTTATAACCCTTATAAAAAGGGTACAAGTGTTATCATCCACCAAGTCAGAAATTTTTTGTTTCTATGGATGTCACCTTTCAAGAATCTGAATCTTATTTCCTGGGTCCTCATCGTCAGGGGGAGAATAGTTCTTCAGAAGACTCGTCCCCTTCCTTCTTTGAGTCTGGATCAATCTTCTCTCTTCCTAGTGTGTCTGCCGGTGTGTCAGAACCTTCAAATACACCTGAGATACAACCCATACTGTCTCACCAGCAACCTCAATCGTCTGAACCACTGGTAAGTCCTGAATCTCCTATTTCTTCTGAGTCTCCTGAATCTCCTGTTTCTGATTCTAATATTATTTCCTCTCATGATTTGTCTATTTCTTCTGATATCTCTAATGACTTACCCATTGCTTCTACTTCTGATGACTTACCTATTGCTCTTAGAAAAGGAAAAAGATCTTGTCACAAGAAAACTTGTTCCTCATGTCCCTCTTGTACTCAATACCCTATCTCCCACTTTGTTTCCTCTGCTAATCTTTCTGTGCAGCACAAAAGCTTTGTTTCAGCACTAGATTCTATTGCAATCCCAAAATCAGTACATGAAGCCTTGAAAGATAGGAATTGGGCTCAAGCCATGCAAGAGGAGATGAATGCTTTGGAGAAAAATAAAACATGGGAGGTTATTGATAGACCCAACGGAAAGAAAGCAGTAGGGTGCAGATGGGTTTATGCCCTGAAATATAATTCTGATGGCACTCTTGAGAGATATAAGGCTCGATTAGTGGCCAAAGGTTACACTCAAACCTATGGCATTGATTATGAAGAAACCTTTGCTCCAGTTGCAAAGATGAATACAGTGAGAATCTTGTTATCCCTTGCTGCCCATTACAATTGGGATATAAATCAATTTGATGTGAAAAATGCTTTCCTCAATGGTGAGTTAGAAGAAGAAGTCTACATGGAAATCCCGCCTGGTTTTGATTCTGTGAAGGGGGAAAATAAAGTTTGTAGATTAAAAAAGGCCTTGTATGGATTGAAGCAGTCACCTCGTGCTTGGTTTGGAAGATTTACTAAGGTTATGATGACCTTAGGATACAGACAGAGCCAAGGAGATCACACTCTTTTCTTCAAGCACTCCCAAAATGGGAAGCTTACTGTGCTCCTTGTATATGTTGATGATATTATTATCACAGGTGATGATTTTGTGGAGAGACAGATTCTGCAAACACGGCTTGCCTCTGAGTTTGAAATCAAAGACCTTGGGAAACTGAGATATTTCCTAGGGATAGAAGTAGCTCATTCAAGCAAAGGAATTTTTATCAGCCAGAGGAAATATGTTCTTGATCTTCTCAAAGAAGCAGGAAAGCTCGGGTGTAAATCCTCTAATACTCCTATTGAGCAGAATCACAAGATGAGCTATGAAGAAGAGAGTCCTCCAGTTGATAAAGGACAATATCAACGGCTAGTTGGGAAATTGATATATCTGGCCCATACTAGACCAGACCTAGCTTATGCTGTTAGTGTTGTCAGTCAGTTTATGCACGATCCAAAAGAAAAACACATGCAGGCAGTAGAGAGAATTCTTCAGTATCTTAAAGGTACTCCTGGTAAAGGATTGTTATTCCGACGTGATGACAATCTATCTTTAGAAGTCTACACATATGCTGATTATGCTGGATCCGTGACTGACCGTCGTTCTACCACTGGTTATTGCATGTTTCTTTGCGGTAACTTGGTGACATGGAGAAGTAAGAAACAAGATGTGGTTGCCAGATCAAGTGCAGAAGCTGAATTTCGAGCTATGGCTCAAGGCATTTGTGAGTTACTGTGGCTGAAAATTGTACTTGATGATCTCAAAATAAAATGTGAGGGACCTATGAAGCTGCTATGTGATAATAAGTCCGCTATTTGTATAGCTCATAATCCAGTTCAACATGATCGGACTAAACATATTGAGGTCGACCGCCATTTCATCAAAGAGAAACTTGATAGCGGGTTGATTACCACTCCATACATTTCCACTGGGCGTCAATTAGCTGATCTATTAACAAAGGGGCTAACTTCAGACAGATTTCAAGAACTTACTAGCAAGCTGGGAATGATAAATATCTATTCCTCAGCTTGAGGGGGAGTGTTGTAAATAATATTGATTTAGTTATTATTTAGTTTTTATTTAGTCATTTATTGTTGTATTGGGCCAAGCCCTTTGTTGTATTGGGCCAAGGCCTTTAGGTTAAAAGTAGGTCAAATATTCTCTATAAATAGAGAACCCCTTGTACACATTATTTACAATTCTGAAATATATCAGAATACCCTTTTTCAAGTTGCTGAATGGATTTAAGTATCACATCACTTGGAGGAACAGCAGCATAGAATCCACCACCAACCCAACTTGTGCTGCTTCTGAGTATTTTGCTCCACTCTCTGAGCATTGTGCTCCACCCTCCACTCACATTGGTTCTGACTCTGGGTAGTTCGCTGAGCATCGTGCTCCACCCTCAACTCATGTTGGTTCTGACTCTGAGTAGTTTGCTGAGCACCCTACTCCACCCTCAACTTCCCGTAAGGTGTCTTCTTGAAATTAGATTGCAACCCTCCCAATCCTGACATTCCCAATCCCAGCATTCCCAATCCCAACAATCCCAATTCAAAGTTTCCCAATCCTGAATTTCCTTGTGCAACATTTTCATGTCCCCTGAGGAATAAAGTTTCCATCAGATATTTGTCGGAAACCATGTCATGAGTTAGAACAATAGATGCCTTCAAATTCCCGTAAGATTTGTTCAACCGCATAGCATCTTCCTCTATTGTGCTCAACAATTCTTCCAAAACAGGATCGTAGTACCCTTCCTCCAAGGATTCCCCATGGCTAGAGCTTGAAGCTTCACCAGTAGATGTAGGCTGACATCTCAATAGAACAATGTTCATCCTCTCCTGAGAGGTATCTTTGTTCAAAAATCTCCAAGCAAGTTGGCTTGTCTTTCTCAACACTGCTTTGAACGTTGGAACTCCGTGTTTTATCTGCAATTTCCCCCAGTAGCGACGGCTTGGAGCTTCATCAGAATGATGATGACACGCCTCTAGGATAATAGGCATATCAATGTCCAACCTGTCATGGCCTTTTTCCTTTATAAACTCTACCCGTGCCTTCAAAAATTCTTCAATAATTCGGTGTGCACTTTGCATGTCCGCAGAAGAGAACACATCAGCTATATGTTTTGGCATATTCTCCTTCATCAACTCTGCGACCCGTACCACATCCCAGCCAGATTGTTCGTGTTCTTGCATTAAACTTGCACCATAGGCAGAGGCAGAGGCAGAGGATGAAGCTGAAGCTTCCCCTTTTATATCAGCCCTAGTGTTCCTCCACGACCTCACTAATGCCTTTGTAAAAGAGGGAGTTTCTTCTAAATCTAAAAGAGGCAAATACTCGCCAAATATTTCTCTTGGACTAAGATTTTCTGACACGTATCTTATCCTCTGCTTAGACATCCCAGGAGTTCTTTTTGGAACCAAACCTGTTGGTGGTATTGGCATGTAGTTGTCTCCTGAGGAGTTTGATTTGGGGAGGCTGAATCGGATATCCTCTGTATTTGTTTTCTCTTTGTACACATAAACTCCCCAACGACTCAGATTCAACCATGATTCAATTTGAACCTGAACAGCCTTCCATTCATCTCCAACACATGCATCAAGACCCTGCCGCTCTTCATCATTGAACAAAACACTTAGATCACACAGTAACACATGATGTTCTCCAACGCTGCAATAATGGTAGTCTTTACGACTTATTTCTTGGCCGTCTATAAACAAGTGGAGACCAACAACGTGGGACTTATCTGACATAATTCCAGGTAACAGTTCTGAGACGATGTCTGTCTGTGTCTGTGTCTGTATCTCTTCATTCTCTCTGACTTCCCCGAACATGAATGCTAAAGCAATAACAGGGAATTTCCTACGAGCCCAGAAAAGCGGAATTTCTTCATTGCTAACAAAGTCAAACAGATTTGGAATCTCCGCTTTTGGCATCACAACTTGTATCCTTTCCTTCTCTCCAAAAACCTGTGAGACAGTAAAATGTTAGGCCCAATAATAAATAAATAAATTCACTAGACTGTCTTCTAAAATGAAATTTGACTTTTTCAAAAGAAACAAAAAGAAAAACAAAAATATTTTCAAAAAAAACAAAAAACAAAAACAAGAACAAAAAAACCCATCCTCATATACTTTGTTATACAGGTTTAAAAAAATGATTTCTCTTATACACTTTCCATGACTCTGACTGCGAGTTCCGGAGACAGAACCTGTGACAGCGAAAAATATCAAAACAAAAGAAAAAATAAAAAGCATAAACCATACGTGTGTGATACATAAATCAAAAGAGAGTAAAGGTAGACTAAGCTATAAACTCTTACTACGTCATTTAACTCGTTAACAACAATAATCCAATACATTAGTTAATAACTACGAACATGCTTAAACTGTTATTTATTTCAGGAAAATAAATATTGTGTATATTGATAGAAGAAGGTATTAAATTAGGTATGGCTCAAATGAGAGGAGAATGACATTCTAGTAAGTTAAAACTTACATGACATTATTCTAAGAATAAATTAACATCATTATGTAAATAGACAGTGGAGAATGTGGTGAAACCTTAGACCATAGCAAGCTTGATGCCTTTGTAGTTAACGATCCACAATATCTTGCCTCTACTTTCTGAATATTTAATGGAAGTTCTGGAATTACTCTAAGATTCCGGCAATAGCTCACATCAAGATTTTTCAAGTGCAAAGATCCTTTGATGCATTTTGGGAGAGATACAAAATCGTTGTATGATACATTCAAGTCTTCCAGTTTTGGAAAATTTTCAAAAATCGCATAAAGATGATCATCTGACAGATTAGCCTCGCTTAGATTCAGTGTCGTCAAACTTGGGCAGCCATTTGCTACTGAATGTCTCTCTTTGAACCTTTTAAATGATTCTCCAACTTGGGAACATCCATCAAGTGTTAACGTGACAAGTTTAGGCAACAATAAGAAGCTACTTGATAGATCCTTGAGTCTTGTGCAAATTGACATGTCTACATTTTCAAGCCCAGCAAGGTTGCGAATTGACTTCGGAAGCTCCTTAATAGCAGTATTTACCAAGCGAATCCTTAACGGCTTATCCATCTTTTGCATTACATGTGGGAAGCTTTCAAGTCTTCTGCAAAAGTTAAATGAAAGCACCTCGAGAGATGGCAAATACATTTCCGGCACAAAACTTTTGAGCATGTTGCATTCGGAAGCACTTAAAGACACAAGGTTAGGCATAAATCCAAAGGATTTATCAAACCCTACCACTTTATGGCATCTATCAAGTGTCAATACTCTTAAATTTATTGCTCCAGACACATCAGGTATATGAGTTATGGATTGACACTGGGAGAGATTGATGAATGTCAAATCCTCAAATATCTACGGAGAAGAATATAATTAAAATGATTAGAGGCATATTCAATTATATTAAATTTTAGATCGTGCTAGTTACAACGATAATTGTTACATGTTTGTATAAATAATAATTAAAGGAGAGAGAGAGAAAGAGAGAAAATGTAATTACCTGAAATGGCTTTTTAAACATCAGAGAACTATGAGGTAACTTGAAATCAACAATTCTGTGGGGATAAAAATTTGGTGGAAGAGACTGTGATGGGTACCCTTTCCAATCAACTAACCGCAAACTATTTGGTAAATAACTTGGTCCAGTTGAAAATTCTGTATTCCGAACAATCAGAATTCTAAGGTTCTTCATCTTCTCGAAGGCCGTATCAATCCAACGATTTACTTCTTCGTGACTTGGGGGATCAAGCATTATTCCTTCAACTCTACTACTTCCCTATATAACATGTACACTGAGTTAATACTAGTTACATTTGTCATATTACAAAAACATATATAGGTAATTATAAAAAAGTAAGAGTAATAGAGATGAGATTCATACTGAGTTTTCTGTAAGCACTTGAAGAACCTCTTTATGATACCATATTCTGCTGCGGTCTCCAGGGTTTAATGGTGACTCCTTTCTAACAATCTCTCTACCCATGTCTTGTATTAAATCATGCATCTCCAAGCAGCCATTTTCATCAATAATTATGAGACATTTACTAACAAATACTCGAATAATTGGGAAGAAATCACAAGCCTTTAGTAACCTTTTGACATATTCCCATCTCTCCCCTTTGAAAAAACTAGCAATGTCCAAGAAAGTTTTCTGATCCAACTCTGACAAGCTATTGTAGCTTATTTCAAGCACACCTTGGATCTCAGCATTTGGAATATTCTTATATTTGTCCAACTCCATTTCCCAATCCTCTAGGCTCCCACCCTTCAAATTGGAGCCTATTACTTTTAAAGCCAACGGAACACCCTTTGCATAATTTACTGCACGACTAGAAACACCTGCATAGTTTTCTGCAGGTCCACTCATATTAAAGGCATGCCAACAGAAGAGTTCTAGAGAGTCATCATCATTTAGCTCCTCCATTTTATATTTTTTAATGATAACATCATCTATAACATGCTTATCTATCATCGTTTTATCCCTTGTGGTTATAATGATCCTGCTACCAGAACCAAACCAATCACCTCCTCCAGCCAGGGATTCCAATTGTTTTACGGAATCAACATCATCAAGAATCAGAAGAACTCTTTTACGGCCAAGCCTGCGTTTAATTTCAAAGCCTCCTTGAAATGTACTGCCCATCATTGTTTCTGTCTCCTCACCCATCTCAGATAGAAGTGTCTTTTGGAGATCTTCCAGGCCTTTAGTGCTTTTGTTTGATTTTTCTCTGACATTATCAAGAAAACTTGCAGCTTCAAAATGATGTCTGATCTTGTTATACATATCCAATGCAAATGTGGTTTTTCCTATGCCACCACCTCCATAAATTTCCAGCATGCAAACGGTATCACGAGACTCAATATCTATACTTGATTTCACCTGTTCAAAGCGAGAATCAAGCCCAACTACGTGTTTAATTGGTAAAGGCAGAGGTGGTAATTTAGCAGAGGCGTCTTTAACAATCTTGTTGATAAGCTCAGGTTCATACCTGCAGGAACACAATACTCTTCCGATTTATTTCATTATACTACTAATAAACAAATAAGAAATTACTAAATGATTCCAGTTAATAACAAGAATGCATAATGAAAATCTTCCAAGTCCAACTACATGCTCAAATACGATTGATATGTCAGAGAAATAGAAAACAATTAATATAGCCTTATCCGCTAACTTTAAGTTTTTTTGAGATGACTTAGTGTTTTACATGCTATTAGAGCCATGTGACCCAATGTTCCTCGTCGCCTATTTTATTAATAAAAATAATTATATACGAGTTCGATACTTACATCTCCATAAGTTGGACCTGATTCATCATTCACTTTTTAATTCAATATAAAAAAATTAATGTAATCTCCTCCGCTAGCTTAAGTTTTTGGATTGAATTTGGAGATTTACATATGAAATAAAATCAATCGGATGACTTATATCAACTTAGTGCTTAATATTTCAGAACTCTTTAAGAACACAACATATTACAAACAAGTAAAAGTTTAGGAACTAGGTGAACTAAAGGTTACTATAGAAAAAACTTACATATTGTCCTTGCAATGTTCTCCGGTTAGATCGCGTACTCTGGACAAAGCTTTCCTCCATGCTTGTACCATGTCCGAGTCTTGTCCGAATCTATTTTCATGTTCAATCATGGCTGCTTCATAAGAATTTTTCTGGTTCCATACATCTGATGGTTCCACTTTGTAAAAAATTACAAGAACTTGTTTCCCTTTGTTATCATGACAGTCAACGATCTTGGCAAGTTCATCAAGGCACCAAGTGGAAGATGCGTAGTTTTGACAGAGAACAACCATTAACATTCTGGAATTTTCGATTGCTTTCATAAGAGCAGGTCTGATTTCTGCCCCTATCTTCAGCTCCTCGTCATCTCTGAAAGTGTAGATTCCTTTTTGGCGCAATGCATTATAGAGATGATCTGTAAATCCGTAACGGCTTCCGAGTTCGCCTCTGAAACTCAGAAAAACATCATAGAAGAAAATATCTGAGGATGTTGCATCATGATTCAGATTTGCCATCATAATAGTCAACGTTGTTCTTGGAGCGTTTTGCAAGTGTATGCTTAATGGGTTTCACGTCACACTGCCATACGAGTGGGAAGCCTTGGCCTTTAAATAATCATAAATGAGCCAAGCGGCTAGACGCTGCGAAGTTGCTGTGAAGGTCCCCATTTTACTTATAAAATGTACGAGGAAATTTCTTAAGCAATGGGAATTGAAAATTAATATATATATATATATATATATAGACGTAGGACCTTTTGACACCAGTGTCAAATTTTAAATTTGACACCTCATTTAAGAGTCGTTACATAAAAAAAGATCAACGGATCTGATTTGGAAGCATGTGACATCGTTGATCTTTTTTGATCAAACGGCTTTCAGATGAAGTGTCAAATTTGAAATTTGACACCGGTGTCAAAGGATCTTACCTCATATATATATATATATATATATATATATATATATATATATATATATATATATATATATATATATATATATATATTTTACTATTAGTGTAGATAACTTATTTATATTGAGTCTAAAATAATGTCATTTGAGGCAGAAATCAAGATATTTTTATAATTATAATTTATTCTAAAATTATTATAGTTTTTTCATTATACTTTTCAATTTTTCACCTTTGTGAGTGAATATAAATAGGGAAAAAAGTTTCCGAGGTTACTTTAGATAACTTTATCTAATGTTCATCGAAACGACGTCGTTTTGGGGTTGAAAAATTAAAAAATTAGAGTGATAAAAACTATTATAACCTTGAAATAAATTAAAATTACAAAAATACCATGATTTTCGTCCCAAAACGACGTCGTTTTGATGAACATTAGATAAAGTGATATAAAGTAACATAAGAGAAAACAATCTCATATAAATAACTTATATACATTCAATTACAATTACAAGTGTGAAAGGAAGGATGTTGCATCATGATTCAGATTTGCCATCATCATGATAATTAACGTTGGACCATGTGAATGCTTAATTGGTTTCAGTTCACGCTGCAATATGAGTGGGAAGCCTTCGCCTTTAAATAATCATATCAGTACTCGACAACAGATGAACCAAACAGCTAGACGCTGCGAAGATGCTCTGAACGGCGATTGATTTATAAAATGTACAAGGAAATTTCTTAGGCCATTGGAATTGGAAATTAATTTAAAAAAATATATATGGAAAGAAAAGCAAAAGCCAAAGAAAGTGAGGACAAATTTATATAAGTGTGAAAAGAAGGATCTTGCGTCATGATTCAGATTTGCCATCATAATAATAAATGTTGGACTTGATGAGTTTTGCAAGTGTATGCTTAATTGGTTTCACTTCACACTGCCATGCCATACCAGTGGGAAGCCTGGCGTTTTAATAATCATACCAGTGCGGGGCACAAATGAACCAAGCAGCTAGACGATGGGAAGTTGCTCTGAACGCTCATTGACTTATAAAATGTACAAGGAAATTTCTTAGGCATAAATTAATTAAAAAAAGTTATGCAAAGAAAAGCAAAAGTATAATAACCCTAACCAGTAAATAGTTATTTTATAAATTATTAAGGAATAATAGTAATTAATGAATAATTAATTAGAGAAAAAGTCTAATTAGATGAGTTAAAGCCATATTGTCAAAAAAAGTTAAAAATGATAGTTAAGGGGATAAAAATATGCGAAGACAAAGTTACTTAAAAGTTAAAAGTGAAATAGTATGTTATCAAAAAAAAAAAGTGAAATAGTAAATATCACAATAAAAATATTATAAATCAGTGTATCAAATTAAAAAGAGAGTTAAGTAAGCGAGGTAATAAGTTTATATCCATTAAGTTAGTTTGAACTCACTAAAGTAAACAAATACTCTCTCTCTCTCTCAACATAGCCCCCCTCCCACATTACAAAGAAAGCTTGAAAATTTTAAAAAATTATAAAGAGAGCTAAAGGCTTTCAAATCACTTGGTTCTAAAGCCAAAAATGTGTCAAAACCTCTCCTCTTCAAAGCCAAACCTCTCCAAGGATCCCTAATTTGCTGAGATAGTGATCTCATCCCGCGTTATAGGGATTACTATAACACCCTGTTTTCTTAATACGAATTGCACGTCCTCAATCAAAATTTAATTTTATAATAAAAGATAAATACAATTTGATTCACTCGATTATTTTTTATATCCAACAATCTAGTTAAAGTGTTAATATTTTGGGTTGTGGTTTCAGTTATTGTACAAAGTAACAACTATAATTTACAGAGTCCAATATGCTACTTTCGAAGATTTGGTAGGCTTGACAAACCAGCCCAAACGTCAGAGATCTCATCCACTACAAAAAAAACAGGCATTTTGCGGCGGTTCATTTTTGGTATACGCGACGGTTACAACCGCCCTTAATTGCACGCGTATAACAAAAATGAACCGCCGCTAAATGCCTGTTTTTTGGTAGTGATCTATCATTCTTGCCCAGATAACGATAATCAATTGTTCATCATCCTCTGCCACATCGTAGCACATCTGTAGACTATTAAACTAATCTCACTGCTTGAGATTGTTATATTCAATAAACGCCTTTTGCCTCTAATGGGAGGGTAAGAAATTATGTAGCAGCTTCTTAATGTGCCTAGGATGTTCTTGTGCGTCTGAGCTCAAATATTTCTACATAGGCAATGGTGTTAGGTCTACGAGGGTAATTGGATTACGCCCATAAACAACTTCAAAAAGACTCATGCCCACGGTGCAATGTTGCAACCTATTATAAGCGAACTCTGCTTGTGCCAAAACTAATCCTCACTGCTTAGGACTTTAATTTCTTCCTCAATAAACGCCTTTTGCCTCTAATGGGAGGGTAAGAAATTATGTAGCAGCTTCTTAATGTGCCTAGGATGTTCTTGTGCGTCTGAGCTCAAATATTTCTACATAGGCAATGGTGTTAGGTCTACGAGGGTAATTGGATTACGCCCATAAACAACTTCAAAAAGACTCATGCCCACGGTGCAATGTTGCAACCTATTATAAGCGAACTCTGCTTGTGCCAAAACTAATCCCCACTGCTTAGGACTTTAATTTCTTCCATCAAACTCCACCATAAATTTCACAGGTGTTATGTCCTTGGAACATAGATGTCCAGCCCAATAGGCTGGTATGTTATTTTTGGATCTAGTGCCCTCTCCAAGGTATCTATGAAGGAGATACCCTTGAGTCAAGTAGATCACTGTGCCCAGAGTACAATAACGGTGTTAGCCAATGGGGTGTGTGTGTGCCCACAATGACAGCAAAACAGTAAGAGAGAGTGTACCTTACCTTTAGGGTTTACCTTGTATTTATAGAGGTTACCTGTAGGTAGCGTGGATGGGCCTTTGGTGCCCCTGATAGGGGCCCAGGCCTGCTTGTTATGCTGTCGTATTAGGATTAGTATCCTTGATGGATATCTATCCATGATTATTACTGATTCAAATCTTGGATTTCCCCTTGTTGGGCCTATCACTTAATGGGCCCCTTATATGGGTCCATAACAGTTTCCCCTCAGCCAGGCTACCTGGGGATCCGGGTTGCCGGGGTGAATTTATTTGCGCATCTCTTCAAGATTTCTGTAATGCTATGTTTGCGCTCTTATATCCGGGTTGCCGAGGTCCTTTTTGCATATTCTGGGGTTTTTTCCATCTGGGGTGTCTCTTGCCCCCTATGTCGACGAGCTGAGCATCGTGAGATATTTCTCGAATTCCTCTTTTCTGGATTAAGGCTGAACTTGAGCAGTTTCGTATCCAACTGACGAGTTACCCCTCAAGCATTAGCCCTTAATGTTATCTCAGGTTTGGGATGTTCTTGAGTCGTTGGGTTCCAACTGGCAAGTTGCCCCCAAGCACTATACCTTATACCCGTGCCTTGATTTGTCTTTTTTGTTACGTGGGCGACGGGTTCTTGCGTGAACCCGGCAAGATACCTTTACATGGGCAACCGGGTAACGGATGTGCTTGAGTCGTTGGGTTCCAACTGGCGAGTTTCCCCCAAGCATCAGGCGTTTAAACCGGTTGATAGTTGCATATGTATGTACTCTATCTTAACTGTTGGTTTGTGAGTGGTACTCATTTCGTTCTGCGATGTGCTACAACCCGCGTGCTTTAGCGTGCCGCAGCCGTTCTATTTTGTTTTCGTGTTCCGAGCGTATTTATTGCGCATCATTTCAGTTGTCTAATCATTGCTTTTCGAAGTGAAATGGCACTAGTGACCCTGACCCATGCCATTTCTGCGTGCTGTGGTTACTGCCCATGATGGTTGCGGTTATCTCCCACGATTGTTGCAGTTATTATATACAAGTGCAACGACCTTAGTTGTAACGCCTGACAACTTGCAAGGATTAACGACTGTCCCCACACACTAACACGAGACTTTTCAACGTGCTTTGTCCTCACTCGCACACTTCCCGGGTAAACTTCCCAGGAGGTCACCCATCCTAGAATTGCTCCAAGTCAAGCACGCTTAACTGTGGAGTTCTTCCGTTCCGGGCTACCGAAAAGTATATGCATCTTGTTAGTATAGGTAGTACCAATTAATTCTTATAAGTCATTCCCAACTATACCGTCTCATACCAGCACAGTCTCTGGAATCCCTCTCTTTCGGGTGTGGATTCGATTCATTCATGTACCCCCGTCCCTAGAAGTCTGCCAGGAGCCGCTCCTTGTCCATGGCCCTTTCGCACCGGCGATCACTCCCCGCCCTCGTCAGCGCCCGGGATGTTACATGTCCACCAGCTTCCGCCTGGTTCGTCCTCGAACCACACCGTACTGGATGAGAGGCCCTGCTCTGATACCACTTGTAACGCCTGGCAACTTGCAAGGATTAACGACTGTCCCCACACACTAACACGAGACTTTTCAACGTGTTTTGTCCTCACTCGCACACTTCCCGGGTAAACTTCCCAGGAGGTCACCCATCCCAGAATTGCTCCAAGTCAAGCACGCTTAACTGTGGAGTTCTTTCGTTCCGGGCTACCGAAAAGTAGATGCATCTTGTTAGTATAGGTAGTACC